TGCTGAGCCGGGAGCCCGATGTGGGACTCGATCCCAGGACCCTGGGATCATGACCTGAGCTGAAGGCAGACGCTTAACGACTGAGCCACCCAGGCGCCCTCACTGTGGCCTCTTTACTGGACCCTGGGCAAGGCGATGCCCTGGGGTGGAGACATGGGCTGATGAAACCTGTGGAGGGGCTGGCTTTTTGGAGATCAGAGCACTTGGGCATTTCTTGGGACAAAGTAGTTGGTCACACAGCCTCCTTCCCAGCCCTGGGGTTGCTCAGGGATTGTTCATCGTCTTCAAAGGGACAGAAATGAAGGAGAGATGGTGCAGAGCTACATGTTCCCCTGAGTTAATGACACTCGTGCGGTGCCTTTGGTCTGGATCAAAGGTAGGAGTAAACAAACAGCATATGCTGCAGGTTAGAAGCCAGGATGTCACATGGCCAAGACATCACCATCTGTCATGGTGGCAGGTAAGATGTAGCATGTGCAGTGGCAAATAGGGCATGTGTGGGATGGACTGTCATGGTCTACAGCTCCCTGTCCCAGGAATCCTTGCTCACAGTCAGGGATCTTTCCAGTCTGGCTTTCACCACTCTCCTTCCCAGCCACTGAAGACTTTCTTCCTCCGACATAGTCCTTGCCTTCTGCCATAGAAGCTTTTCTCATGCTGCCCTCTCTGCTTCTGGGGATTTTCCCGAGCCACAGATCTCTGAGGACAGGGTCCCGAAGGGTCATCTCTTCCTTCCCTGCTTCCAACATTTCCTACACAGAGCATATTTGTGGTTTTTGAGTAAGTAGGTGGGTCAGTGCAGGAGCAGGTGAGACAATGAGAGACAGAGTGAGCGAGTTGATGAGTAAGTGTCCTGGTGGCTCAGCACAGTCCCTCCACACAAAGAAGGACACTTCATGGTGAGATGAGGATATATTTCCTCCACTCCCTCGGGCCCTTTGGCTCCCAGGCCTGGAATAGATAGATGCTGTTGTGATCTGGTTTCCTAGTCCATTCTTGAGGCCCGTTTGGCCTCTGGGAGGAAGCCCTGAGAAGGAGAGGAGTTGGAAGAGACGCAAAGGACCTTTCCTCAACTTCTTGGGCAAGACTGAGAAAAAGATGAGAGCTTTGGGCAACAGAGAGCCCAGTGGGAGTCACCTGAGGTTTGTGTTGGTCTGTCTGCTTATTGGTTCATTCCACCAGCCTCTACATCTATCCACCAATCTGCCCATCCAACTACTCATTGCTCAGCCATCCATGCATCCATTCATCCATCCTTCCATGTATCCATGCATCCATCCTTCCATGTATCCATGCATCCATCTGTCCATCTTATTCATCCATCCAACTCATCTGTCCATCTATCTGACCAGCCATTCTTCCTTTCTTTCACACATTACCTATCCATGTTCTGCTCCTCTGTTAAATCTTCTGAGTGTCAGAAGAAGCATTGGGTTCTGGAGAATTAAGGACAATTCAGGTGTGGTTCCTCCCATTGAGGATCTTACAGTTGAAGGTCAGTGTGTTGTCTGGAGCAGGGAAAGCAATGGCCTCATTGTGCTATGACCTGGTCCAATCCTTGGGTCCAATTCTGACCAATTCACTGGGACAATAGCTCTTCAAATGGATTTTTGCCCATTTGTGCACCATTTAATCCCCATCTCCTAGAACAGCGCCTGGCATACGGTAGGTGCTCAGTAAGTCTTTGTTGAGTAGATGCACACTATCAAGGAGCCTAGACAAGTAGGGACACTTTAGGGTGGCATTTCTGGGGCACTCCAAGGATGCTGGGAGTAGTCATCAGACTGGATGACCTCTGATGCCCACTTCAGCTGCACAGTCCATTTGTGGATGATTTTAGAGCTGTCCTGGCTCCAGAGTCCAGGATCATCTGGTCCAAGCACTCTCCATCCTCAGGTCACCCAGGAGGCAGAGGCAGAGCCAGACTAGAACCCAGGTTTTGGGCTCCCAGTCAGGGGTGTACTTCTCTTTTGGAAGAAGGATTTGATTTTAGGTCAGGTCAGAAGGTTCCTCTTGATGGGCAGAAGATAGGAGGGTGAGGACAGTGTGCCAGCCAGCCCTGTCACCCACCCCACTTATGCCCCAGTTCTGGATTTGTTCTGAGGCTTCCAGGCTTGTCTGTGCCTGGAGGAGAGGAGAGGGAGAGGACAGGCAGGGCCCAGGATTCCCTCATGCCTGCCCATCCCGGGAAGTGGCTATGTTGGGCAGTCTGCACCTGCAACTAATCCCTAGAGCTGGTTTGGCTGGAAGAAGACCCAGAGGGTTGAGGGGACAGCAGCATGGATAGTGGTGTAAACTGGGAGCCTGGAATCAAGAGTCAAGTTCTCTGTTCAACTTGGCTGCTATCCTTGGGGGGTGGCCATGGATGAGTGTTGCTCCATCCTGGCCTTGGTTCCCTCATTATGGAATGGGGCCACAATCCCTCCCCTGCTACCCTTCTGAACTTGATGTGGCTGGGACTGTGCTTTGGGAGCTCTTCTGTGGTCTTGTGAGAAAGGGAGGGGGCATGTCGATCCTTCTGGGCACGGGAAGGAGACAGGCAGCAAAGGTACTTACGAGAGAGACCAGCTGGTCAGGAGGCCACTATCCCCGGCCAGGTCACAGAGCAAGAAGGTATGCTGCAGCAGCACGGGGTGGGGAGTATCGCTGCAACCGACCCTCCTCCTGATGCTCATCATCCAGGCTGTCATGGGAAGGCTTGTCCCTGAGTGTGTGACCGTAGGTTCTGAGAGCATGCGTGTCTGTGTTTGTGGGTGCTTCTGAAGGTGAGGCCAGGGCTGTGTCTGGCTGGGGAGTCGTATCTTGGGTGTGTGTCTCATCTCCTGATCAGGCAGTGAGTCTGTCCCCTCCCCTGGGGCTTAGTCAGGTCGCAGGCCCTGGGCCCATGTCTCTCTTCCAGCCCTGGGAGAAAGTGTGCCTTTCACTTGCCCCTCTACTGCTCCTCACACCCACTGTCCAAAGTGGTTTCCTGAGTTTTCCTTCTTGATGAGGATTCTTAGCCCTGCCCCCTGAACTTTTACAACCCCTCACTGCTCTAGGTCTGACTATTTTCTGTGCCGACACAACAGTACAAGAGATGATCGGAGGGAGTTGAATGTGTCCTGGCAACCAGGAAAGGCCCTTGTAGATGTCAGCATGTAGGGACTTCCTCCTGAAAGGGCTCTTCTTCAGACCCGAGACCAGAGGGACAGTTGCAGGGGATGATGGGGAATTGTAGCTCTCGTTGTTGCCATGTCCCCCATCTCTGGTGAGTCTTCCGCACCTGGAGGCAGCTGCAGACAGGAAAGTCCCCCTCAGATGCTAGGCCACCCCAGCAGAGACCCCTGGGTTCATCTCTCAGTACTTTTAGTGACTAGAATCACTGAAACCCAGCTTTGAGTCCAGGCTCTGCCACCTACTTGCTGTGTGAGCTCAGGCGAGTAGCTTGACCTCAGAGCCTCCACCTGCCCACCTGCACGTGGCGATGGGGCAGTACCCATCCCAGAGGGCTGCTGTGGGGGCTGAGCGAGGCCATGAGGGACGGAGCCCAGCATGGAGCCGGCCGAGAGCGAGTGTGCTGTGCGGCTGCGCAGCCTCAGCAGCAGGGTGCAGGGCACGCGGGTGGACGGTCCCAGCCCCAGCTCTAATGGCCTTGCTTGGGTGTCCCCACAGTGCACACTTCTTCCTGGAGATAGAAGGGTTCGATCCCAACCCCATTGTCTCCAAGACCTCTCCCCCCATCTTCTCCAAGCCTATGGACTCCAACATCCGGCAGTGGTGAGTACTGGCCCCCGTGCCAGCCCAGACCTCCGCTCCAGGGCGGGCAGCGACTCACCTGGGGCCAAATGGCCAGGCCTGGTTGTCTCTCTCTTTTAAACTTGTTTCTCTCTCTCTTCCTTTCCAGCCTCTCTGGCAACTGTGATGACATGGACTCACCACAGTCTCCTCAGGACGATGTGACAGAGACCCCGTCCAATCCCAACAGTCCCAGGTCAGCCTGGCCCTCCCCTTCCCCTCACTGCGTCTACCCGGTGGGTGACAGAGGCATGGGCATCACTCCCCAGGAAAGAGAAAGAAGCCTCCGTTCCTGGGGGTTGGGACAAACGTCTGGACCTCTGGTTGTGGCATGTAGGAATTTTTTTGGGGGGGGAGGGGAGTATTACATTTTATAAACTATAAAAAGTATTACCCATTCATTATAAGCATTCAAAGAACAGTATGCAAGAGAAGGAGAACTGTAACACAATCCCATGTAAGTACATTAAAAATACATGCTTATAAACCATGAAGCATCATGTGCATTTTGCAAGAACACATACAAACAAAAAATTACGCATTACCATGCTTGTCTCTTTGGAGTGTGGTGGCAGGAAGAGATGGAGTTCAAAAATGCAAACATCCCAAAAGATTAAAGTGGGATTTCCCTTCCCCTAATCTCATACATTTTAAGGCAATCGCTATTAATTGTCCTTCCTAGTCAACTTTACTCTGTGTATCCAAATATGTATTTTGAAAAAACGTGATTACATTTGGATTGGGAGGGAAGCCTGCACGCGGCGACAGGGGTGCAGGGTGCCAGGGGCCTGGAGCGCTGATGGACAGCGCCTGGGGCGTTGGGACAGCGCGGGGGCTGCCAAGGCTGGAGCGGCTCTGCGCAGGCGCAGCGGCTCCGGCGGGCGAGGGGAGAGTAGGTTGGTGGTACCCGCCCGGTGAACTGGCAATACTTTCCGGCCTCAGTGCAAACCTGGCCAAGGAAGAGCAGAGGCGGAAAAAGAAGCGGCTGAAGAAGCGCATCTTTGCAGCCGTGTCGGAGGGCTGCGTGGAGGAGCTGTTGGAGCTGCTGCGGGAGCTGCAGGAGCTTTGCAGGCGGCGGCGCGGCCTGGACGTGGCTGGTCAGTGGCTGGCTCCGGCAGAGAGAGCGCAGGGCTGGGGGCCCCGTGTGGCTCCTGCTGTCAACCTTTCCCCACAACCACCCATGAGGGGGGCGTGTGAGGAGCCCAGAATGCTGGGCTGGGGACTTTGAAGCTGACTCCGAGGGCAACGGGGAGCCATGCAAGGGCTCAGGCAGGCGAAGGTCAGGTCTGGCCACTGCATGGAGGGCAGGTGTAAAACTGGAGAAGGGTGCTATTCAGGCAGCGTTGGGAGCACAGCAGAAGAGCTGGGGGAAGGTGACCTCGGCAGTGGAACTGGCTGGAATCGAGGACAAGGGAAGTGAGAGAAAGAGAGGAGTCCAGGGTAGCGCCATTGGCCACTTGCTGGATGGTGGGTCCCACGCTGTCTCGGGGCCGGGGCGTAGCGTGTTAGAGGGAGGGGATGTAGGCTACTAGGAGGAGGCAGGCTGAAGACTTCAGGGCATCAGCACTGAGGTGGACAGCGGGAAGGCACGCAGTGGGTGAGACTGCCCCCTCCAAGGTAGCAGGTGCAGAAGGCAAAGAGCAAAAGGCCTTAGATGACGCTCTCGGGGGGCCTCAGGGGAAGAGCAGTTGGAGAGGGAGGAGGAGAGTAGGTAGCAGAGGCTCCAGGAGGCCAGTGGGGGAGGCCCGAGCAGGGTCTGGAGGTCTGAGGCTGCCGCCCCCTCACCCTGGCCTCCCCTCCTCAGGGCTGGAAGGGCCAGGGGCAGCCGGGGCCCCTCCTGCGGCTCATCCTGTGTGACCCTGTCCGCAGACTTCCTCATGCACAAGCTGACAGCCTCTGACACGGGGAAGACCTGCCTGATGAAGGCCTTGTTAAACATCAACCCCAACACCAAGGAGATTGTGCGGATCCTGCTGGCTTTTGCCGAGGACAATGACATCCTGGACAGGTTCATCAACGCTGCGTACACAGAGGAGGCCTACAAAGGTAGGCTGCCTGTGGGAGGTGCTGTGCAGACAGGGATTTCTGAGGCTGGGCTGGGGGCCAGGTCACACAGGGCCCCTGCTGTCACCGTGGGCCCTAAGCACTGAGCCTGCTTTCGTACCACATAGCAGGCACTCCTCACTTCCGTCCTTTGTTCTGCAGAGAGTTTTGAGCTAACTGCCACATGCCAGGCATTGTTTTCGGCACTGGGGCGCAGTGGTGAACAAGACAGATATAGGCCACTGCTTTATTTATTTATTTTTTTTAAAGATTTTATTTATTTATTTGACAGAGACAGAGACAGCGAGAGCAGGAACACAAGCAGGGGGAGTGGGAGAGGGAGAAGCAGGC